TTCGCATCCACGGGTTTCAGACGGCTGTCGCAAAAGCTAAAATGTATCAGAGTTAAAATACTTGACAGCCACCAAGATCGGAGTGATTGAGCGACGAAATTGTGCTTCGGGGTTAACATGTATGCTCCAAACTCGCTAGGGTACAGGTAGACGTGAATGTAGCCCTTCTGGACTCAGCATCCATTCCCTTATCGGAATGATCTATATCTCGAAATCTGCTTGACGTTACAGGGTAAATTGCTTAGGGCCTCTTCACAATATTTCGGCACTAGTCATTCAGGATAGACTCAATAGCTGGCTGTGGTAAATCAACAAGGTTATGTGGGACTCATAGGCCTCGATATACATGCCTTCTGTACATGTACAGAGCACCAAACCTAAAATTAAAAAAATGAGCAATTTGTTCAAGGCAATTGCCGACCAAAGACTTGTTTGCGAGCAACAATTATGAACAGGTAAGATCTTCTGTCTAGCAAGATCAAGGCTATGCGACGTCCCTCCCCTACCTAACAAAATAACACGCGCCACAAGAGCGTACTTGCGAGATTCGGACATACATACTTGTAACGAGCGCGGGGCCAGACACATTAATGGGTCGGAGTCATGCTTCCATCATGCAACCACCAGATGACAGATTCCCTCCGTGTCCTCAGTCCTTCTTAGCTACCATTACCACACATCTAATACTGCCATTCCTTGTAGCTCCCTCCAGGACATCCCGGCGTTCCGTACACACCACCCACAATCCACAAGATCATATCAACAAATGCCCAAAGTCCCAAGCCCCCAAGCGTCAACAACTTGAAAACGGCCAAAGGCCAATGACGAGCGTAAAACTGATCAACCCCCAGAACTCCAAACAGTAAGGAGAGAATCATCGCGGTGCGTTCTTGTCGGTAGCACTTTTCCGTTTTAGGTCGTTCGTCAAAACCACCCCAGCTTCGCGCCGCGAGGTGAGATGCTTCTTGTTCTTGGGGTGTTAGTTGGAGTAATGTCGAGGGAAAGAAGGGGAGACGGACCGTTGCGCATGAAAAGAAGGATGCTACCGATGGAAGCAATGAAGACGTAGCTTAGCATGATCATTTTCCATCTTCGAATTACGAAGCATAGACTGTTTGTGAGGGCGCGGCCAAGCTTGTCCGCATTCGCAAGTCCAGCGCTCATGATAATTGAAGATGTTGCAAGTTAAGCTGAGATGTCGAGCTTACCGCGCTGGGGATGGTGGGAGAGATGCCTATTATAATGATTAGGCGTTTGGTGAAACTGGAAAAGGTCTTGACGAACTGAGGCGATGGTTAATCATTTATTAATCAGTCGCTCCCCTTCTGGATTCCATGTGTATCTCACCCCATATTTTAGTGCTAGCTGTAACCAACAGGTCCCTGTCCAACACGGTTTGTGATCAACTATTCCTTTGAAATGCCCTTCCTTGCCACTGCTAGCCCGCTGCTGTGTTACATCGCTCTGACTTAAACTACCGCAAAGATACTCTTCCTCCTGGCGTTGTAAGGCTCTCCGAGAAAAGTGTTTATCTCGCTTCCTAGCCATCAGGCTTCTGCTATGATATCTGTGTATCAGATGTGAAATCCAAGGCCAAATCGATGTGACGAGGTGTGGCATAACGATACTACCTATGAAACAACGAAGGCTGTGTACGTTTTTCACAAGTGGAGACAGGCGGACACTTCGAAGGTCCACTATCGCGCTGTGCGATGTGTAAATTAACACCCTCTCCTTCTATCACAAAATCATTCTCGTCTTCATGGGACGGTCAGGATTGAGATTCCTCTTCAATCACCGACTACATGCACAACTACCTAAGAT